AAAAAAAAAAAAAAAAAAAAAAAAAAAAGGTTTGTAAATCAGAGCTGAAGAGATGACTCAGGTTAAGAGCACTGGCTACTCTGGAGGACCCAGGTTCAATTCCCAGCACCCACATGGCAGCCCACAACTCCAGTTCCAGGGGATCTGACACCCTTACACAGACATAAATGAAAGCAAAACACCAATGCATATAAAACAAAAATAAATACTTAAAAAAAATTTAAATCTGGATGTGGTGGAAAACACTTGAAATTCCAGCACTCAAGAGGAAGGAGGAAGGATTATCAAGTTTGAGGCCAGCCTGGAATACATGAGACTGCCCCCCCCCCAAAAAAAAACTGTTCTCTTTGCCATCGACTGGCTGCACTGAGTCCTTACAGCACTGTTGTGCAGTTTGAGTTTTGACTACATGTACTACTCTTCAGCCTCCTTGTTTCCCTCATACAGGCCTCAAAAATCTCCTGTGATCTTTTACATCCGTATCTTTCTAAAAATGTAAAATGTCTGAAATGGCATTAGGGTTGATCAAATTAAAGTGAAGTAATAATTAGTAACACAAAACAGATGTCAGCCCTCTAAATCAGCTTTCATTCTGTCCTTAGGGATATACTAAATTCTAAATTTAGGGAAGTGTGAGGACTACATGACATTGTTTTGGAACCACAATACATACTAATTTAAAGAAGTTATTATATAAGGTGGGTATTACAGTGCATATGTGTAATCTCAGCAAGCTGAAGACAGGCAAGAAGCCGGGCTGAACGTCAGATTCCTGACCCACGTGCTGCATCAGCCACCTAGGCTTAAACAAATCATCAAGTTAAGAAGCAGAGCTTGCCCTCTGCAAGATAATGAGATACATGGGGCAATGGGGCCGTAAGTGTTCTAAAAAGTACACAGTTTCAGGGGCAATGAGTTAAATCTGAATTTTAGAATTTATTCCATTTTCATGATTACAGACTTAGGGCACGGTAGGCAAACAAGTAAGCACCTTTCCCCCACTTAGCCAGATGCCTTTTATATGATGTGCAGGCTGACATTAATTCATGGAGCTGAAAACTGTCATAGCAAAGCTGCAATGTAGGTGATTCTTCCACAGCCACTCCAGATGTCGGAGCTATGAGCGGCACTGTGAGCTCCAAAGTGATGTTTACGTCATTTCTGAAGCTTTCACTTGTTCTGACACCTCGTTAAGGCAGGAGCTGAGTAAAGCTGTCTCCTACTTCGCTAACCCAGGCCGCCAGCAGCAGGGACTGAAGCTGTTGTGTCTGGATCCCTTTCAGAGCAGTAGCACCTGAGAGGGAAAGGCGGTCCCGACCAACTGTGCTCAGGAACTGTGACTCCCTGGTAGTCCTGCAGCAAAGCTGTCGGGCAACCTTGATTGTGACCAGTTTATCATTATTTACATTCAAGATTGGTTAAAGCTGATTACAAACCATGTACTGTAACCAAAACCCCAAGAAGCTGTTTCATTGTAGCACACGGAGATCCTGCAAGATGCCAGCAAAAGTGAGATTGTCTCAAAGCAAAAGTGAGAGCTGCTCTTTTAGAAGTGAGAGGAGAATACTAAGAAGAAGAAACAAAATCTCCTCTTAAACTCCTCGAATCCCATGGCTGGCTTCACTGCCTTAGCTGATAAAATCCAGAGGCCTCTCAATTTACCGACATCTTCCAAGTGACAGGCAGGTCAAGAGGAGTTTTCAGGCTTTTCTTTGCCATGGCCCATGAACTCCAGTCCTTCTATAGGAATCTCTTTCTCCTTTATTGCTTTCTGAGAGAAAAAGAAAATGAATTAGAGAAGTCTATGAAAGCCTGAAGTCAATGTTTTGTAACTGCAGTGTAATGGCACCAAAGTGAACTAGAAAGACTTGATGGGGGTTGGAGAGATGGCTCAGAGGTTAAGAGCACTGACTGCTCTTCCAGAGGTCCTGAGTTCAATTCCCAGCAACCACATGGTAGCTCACAGCCATCTGTAGTGACATCTGGTGCCCTCTTCTGGCCAGCAAGCATACATACAGACAGAACACTGTATACATAATAAATAAATAAATCTTGTGAAACCCACAATTTAAGGGGCACTCTTCTCTTTCAGACATGGCGTCAGTGTGTAGCCCTGGCTAGCCTCAGATTCACACTCCTAGGTAAAGGTGTGGAACACCACACCCAGTAATCTCAACAAAGTACCAATGTAAAGAGGGTAGGGCCTGTGTGGTCTGCACACTTGTTCTTGGGAGGCAGAAGCAGGAAGTGCCACTGCTTTGTCTTAGCGACAGCGTTCAAATCTATTCCAGTACCAGCAGGTATGTGACTCTGAGTCACCTTCATTGACTGGGAATCGGCTAAAAATCGTTCCTGAAATTGGGAGGATGTTTTAGGTTAGGTTAGTGAAAGTGCTCCTACTGGTCTGAAATCAAACCTTACTAGCTGCAACTGGGAACTAGTAGAGAAAAATAAGGCAACAAAGAGATCATAACAAAACAATGCAACCGTCTAGAAAACATTAAACATCATCCACTTATAAAAACAATGAAATATTTGCGCCCCCAACAAAATAATCAAGGTCACCAGAAGCTAGTGCATTTGAACCAGTTACTACTTCTGTGTGCTAGTTTTCCATCTGTAAGACACAGCGGTCAAGCCTAGGAACCCGAACTGATCCCCAGAGCCCTTACAAATGTGGAAGGAGAAAACTGACTCCGGTAAGTTGTCCTTACCCTGATCGCGCACGCAGGCACACACATTTTTAAGATACAGATAACTACGGCTACTTTGCAAGTTCAGAATGAGCACCAAATAAATGAACCAGAAGATGCTACTGTAATCCGTAGAAAGCAAAGCACCGCAAAAACATCCCCGTGTGTCAAATGGAGAGATACCCAGGCAACGTCGGTGGGATGGCTGCAGCAGCGTCTGCGGCGAGACTCACCTGGACACACTGTTGGTAGCGTTTGAAGAGGTCGGTGCACGGGTCCCCGGAGCCGTCCCCTTTGAGGAACTTCTCGGCGAACCAGCGATTGAAGCATTGGTCATATTCGCGCTTCATATCAGTACAAGCCTCTCCGACGCTGTTCATGGCGATGGCGGCGGCTGCGACGGCGACCGCGGCGCACTCTATTGTCGTCAGTATCGTGCGCGTCGCTCAGCCTCTCGTCACTACGGCGGTCGAGAAGCAAAGAAATGTGGGCACGAGCGGTGTGGGTACGTTTTCGGGCTGCGCCGGATCGGGGCCGAGGCTTTGCTTCCAAAGCGGGTCCACAGGGAAAGGTCCAGGCGGCGGGGCAGGGGACCGGCACTCCATCCCTCGCCCCGCAGGGCAGTGGCCGCGTGCCCGCCGAGAAAATAGAGCATCTGGAGCGTCTGGCGCTGGTAAACTTCGGCAGCCGCGAGGCGGTGGCCCGGTTGGAGAAAGCCGTCGCCTTCGCTGAGCAGCTGCACGCCGTGGACACCGACGGGGTGGAGCCCCTGGAGTCAGTACTGGAGAACAGGTAAACTCCCGTTTGCGGCCTGGAGGTCTTCCAGGGAACCCAGGGCACCTTCCAGGCTGTTTCAGGTCCTTTCAGTGTCCTTTGCATGATTGGGAATTTGCCCAGTCACCGTAAGGACGTCTTCTCCTTTCCCGTAGTTCATTATGAATCATTGTTATTCCCGGTTAGAATCCTCTAGCCTTCCTAGTTTCGGTGTAAATAGAAACAAAATCCGAGCTGCTTGTTAGACATCGTCTTCGAATCCCTGCTCCTTGGAGCCCCTGCTTATCCGCTCGGATATACTGTTCCCTCAGTACCCTCCAGCTTGTGTTGGCTTCCATAACTTTTTCTCAGCAAGCTAAGGTCATTCCCGCTAAAATGTTTGCACTTGTCGACCTGCGCATCAGATTAAATATCTGAAAGAATTAAATACTATTACATATTTTGGAGACCTTCTCCAGGCAGTTTATATACTAATATGGCATATCCAAATAACATATAAGCTGTGTCATCTATATTTGAAACAAGAGTCTGGCTATACAGGCACGGGCTAGCTTTAAACCTAAGGTTGGCTGCCTCCTTAGTACTACTGTCTGTAGGTCTGTATCACCGCACCCAGCATGTTTCATTATTTACTTCTTTTGAGACAGGGTTTCATATAAACCAGGCAAGTTAAGGATGACCTTGAATTACTGATCCTCGTCAGACCTCCATCTTCCAAGTGCTGGGATTATAAATTGTTGAGCAACCATCATGCTTACATATCCCAGGCTGGCCTTAAACTTGCGGCAGTCCTTGCCCAGTTTCTCAAATTCTGGGCTTATAGGTGTGAGTTAGTTACCATTCTTGGCTTGAAAGTGTTTTGGGGTTTTTTGTTGTTGTTGTTGTTTTGTTTTGTTTTTACTAATCTGTGTGTATGAATGTTTGGGCTTCTTGTATGCTGTACGCCACATATCTGGTGCAGAACAGGGTGTGGGAGTCACTGGAACTAGAGTTACAGGTGATTGTAAGCCACCATGTGGGTATTGGGAATCAAATCTGGCTGACCTGGAAGACTGACCAGTGCTAACCACTGGGGCCATTTTTCTAGTCCCCTTAGTGACAACAGAGAGCCAAATCTGGAACCATGACCTTTATGTGAAATGCTTCTGCAAAATTTGGACCTTGTTAGTCTCCTGTTCTTCTTACCTTCCAGTCTGTGGTTCCTTCAGGTCTTTGATCTGAAGCTCGGGTCCATTTGCCTGGTGCTCCCCAGCACTTCAACAGAAGTCGTTTCCATTCCAAGCCCTTCAGCTGTGCCACTGCTTCTAATGGAGCCAAAAGAGAGTTTCTTCATGGCCCATTTCTCCAGGCCAGCACTGTCATGTTCTTTCAGCTTCTTGAGTTCTCTCTTCTGTTACTTTTCCCTCACATTCTCAGCTCTTGCTCTAACTGGCTCTTTATCTCACCTGCTTTTCTCCTATTTTCCTTTCTTCTTAAGCTGTCAACTGCCATTAAATGTCCATTCCTTTATAGTTATTCTTTACGGCTCTAGTGGTATTCAAAGGAGTTATTAATCACAATATATCTACTTGAATCTCATTTCTCTGCTTAGATCGGTGGTTCTCAACCTTACTAATGCCACGACCCTTTAATACAGTTCCTTATGTTGTGGTGACCCCCCCCCCACCATAACATTTTCATTACTATTCTTTGTAACTGCAGTTTTGCTGCATAAACACCCGATATGTGACCTGTAGGGGCTGTGGCCCACAGGTTGAGAGCCACTGGCCTAGCTGCTGAAGAAAGACACTGGTAATAGAAGTGAATGTCTTGGAGCATTAAAACTCACTCATCTTGTAGACGCCTGGTGCAGGAAGACAGGTGCGGTAAATACTTAGTAAACAGTTGGCCTGAAACTGGTCATAGTGACTTACATCCATAATTGTAGGGCTTGGGATGCTCAGGCAGGGCTAACACAAGTTTGATTTCAGCCTGTGATATTGAAGGAGACCCTGCTTCTAAAAAAAAAACAGGCAAATAGAGGCCAAGAGTTGGCTTAGCAGTTAAGAATATCTGCTGCTGCTGCTGCTGCTCCTGCAAAGGACCCAAGCTGAGTCCCAGCACCCATGCCAGGTGGCTTATAGCCACGCATAACTCCAGCTCCAAGGCCTCCGAAGGTACTGGCACTCACATACACAGACCCTTCACATATGCATAATTAAAAATATTTTTTAAAACATGTAAACAGGGGCTGGAGAGATAGATCAGTGGTTAAGAGCACTGACTGCTCTTCAGAGGACCCGGGTTCAATTCCCAGCACCCACATGGCAGTTCACAACTGTCTGAAGATCTAGTTGCAGGGGATCTGACACCTTCACATCAATGCACATAAAATAAAGTTAAATAAACCCTAAAAAATATTTAAAAAAAAAAAAAACTTCTAAACAAACAATGCCCCCAGAGCCAGTAAGAATGAAGTCCTTGGTTGATTCCTCACTACTACCAAAATCAAACAAAATCAAACTTTTCCTCAAAGTCATCCAGGCCTGTTTAGTGTTTCAAATTCTGGAGCTGCTTAAGAATGCGGGCCCACTGCTGCCATATCTGTCCTTGTCGTAGCACACATGTGGAGGGGAGTTGGTTTCTTCCATTTGGGTCCATGGGGTCAAAGAGCACTTTTACCTGAGCCATTTTCACTACTCCCCCTCTTTTTTTTTTTTCTTTTTGTTTGTTTGTTTTTTGGTGGGTTTTTTTTGTTGTTGTTGTTTTTTGTTTTTCTGAGACAGGGTTTCTGTGTAGTCCTGGCCATCCTGGAACTCGCTCCGTAAACCAGGCTAGCCTCAAACTCAGAGATCCGCTTGTCTCTATCTCCCAGGTGCTGGAATTAAAGGAGTGTGCCGTCACTGCCACCACCAGGTGTCCTGTGTTAAGTGTTCATGCAGAGGACCTGAGTTCAGTTTGCAGCACTCAAACCAGGCAGCTGAAAACTGCATCTAACTCCAGGGATCCAATGCTTCTGGTTTTCATGGGCACCTGTACTAGTGCGCGCGCGCACACACACACACACACACAATAAAATAAACCTTTACATTACACTTGCTGTTTCCAGCAATTTTACAAAGCCTTTTTTCTTTACTTCTGTAAAGGAAGGAAGCTAAAACAGAGATAAGTACTTCATGGCATTGAGACTTAGGATCTACTGTGTTCTTAGCCAATCTCCAACAGTGTCTTTTAGTCCAGAAAGAACAGTGACTGCCTTTAAATGGTACAGCTGCAATGTTTTTTTTCCCCTACCTTCTGTGCTAGATATTGAATTTAGGGCCTCACACATACAAAGCTATCATTATACCACTGACATACAGCCCCACCACCCATTTTTTTCCCTAAAAAAACAAATCCCAGCACTCGGGAAGCAGAGGCAGGCAGATCTCTGAGTTATATAGATTTATTCACTGTGTAGACCAGGCTACTCTACACAGCAATTTCCAGGACAGCTAAGACTACACAGAGAAACTGTCTAAAAAACACACAAGCCAGGTGGTGATTCCAGCACTCGGGAGGCAGGGGCAGGTGGATCTCTATGAGTTCAAGGCCAGCCTGGTCTACCAAGCAAGTTCCAGGTCTGCCAGGGCTGTTATTTAGAGAAACCCTGTCTCAAAAAAAAAAAAAAAAAAAAAAAAGAGTTAGCTGGGTATGGTGTCTCACGCTTTTATTTCCAGCACTCAGGAGGCTAGTGTAGGAAGACCTCTGTGAATTTGAGGCCAGCCTAATCTACTTAATCAGTTCCGGCTAGCCAGGACTGCATGGTGAGGCCCTGTGTCAAACAAAGACAAAGGCCATGGAAGTGCAACCTTCACTTTTTGAAAAGAAACTAAGGTCTTGGAAGATTATTCCATTTTAAGGCCACAGTTAACATAATACTTTGGGCTTCTGGGGTGAGGTGGGGTATTATAGTAACACATTCATTCAGGAGGCAGAGGCAGAAGGATGAAGAGTTTTGAGGCCAGCGTAGAATAGTGTGGGAAAACCACAATCAGCCAGACAAGTGTGGATCCAACCCTCCATTCTCTTAACGTGAATGACAATGTCTCATTTTATGTTGGTGCTTCTTCTAGGGTTAACTCCTCTTTGCCGGTGATTTCAGATTCCTTTTTATTGTTATGAGACAGGGTTTCTCGGGTAGCTGTCCTGAACGTGCTCTGTAGACCAGGCTGACCTTGAACTCAGAGGTCCACCAGCCTCGCCTCCCAGGTTAAAGGTATTAGAGACTCCCTCACTTTTAATGAGTATCTAGAAACAGGTTGGCTCTTGTAAGGCACTTTGTTTTGAAATCAGTGTGAAACTGCTTGATTGTATCGCTGTTTAGTTTCACTGGTTTGTAATGCAGATATTTTACTTGAATTTTTTTGAGACAGAATCTTAGTGTGTAGCCCTGGCTGACCTTAGACTTAGTATGTAGACTGGCCTCAAACTCACACCTGTGTCTGCTCCCTGAATGCTGTAATTAAAGCAGTGTACCACTGTGTGTGTATAGATGTACTGACCAGAATACAAGTGGAGGACAGAGGACAACCTATGAGAGTCCAGGAGTCCATTCTCTTTCCAGCTAGGTGGCAAGTGCTTTCACCCACTAAGCAGTCTGTATACTTTAGAGACACTATATATACATATTTTAGAGAGGCCTCTATGTCTAGAGAACAAGAGATTCATAATCTGTGATATATCTTAGAGACAAAGCCTGTGTAGGCACTAGCCTTAAACTACTTAAGTGCAAGGATTATTGGCATGTACCACACAATGTGACTGTTCAGTGCATCTTACTTAGTGAGGCATCTCCATAGGTGGCTGTAGTTTAAAAAAAAAAAAAAAGCATTCACCTCAGGGATACTGCTAACTTACTGCCCCTGTCTGAATCAGCTGTGTTCTCTTGTATGGGATTCATGCTGCATCTGGTGAGTCTCTGGCAGTGACATCATTGATTCTTGAGTACATGCTTCTCACTGGAGCAGGGTTTGGGACATTTGTTAATCTTTGATGTATTTTGCTTGTTATAAAATATTTTGTGGGGCTGGAGAGATGGCTCAGAGGGTAAGAGCACTGGCTGCTCTTCCAGAGGTCCTGAGTTCGATTCCCAGCAACCACATGGTGGCTCACAACCCTCTGTAATGTAATGAGACCTGGTGCCTTTCTTGCCAGCAGTACATTGTATGCTTAATAAATAAATTTTTTTTTTTTTTGGTTTTTCGAGACAGGGTTTCTCTGTGGTTTTGGAGCCTGTCCTGGAACTAGCTCTTGTAGACCAGGCTGGTCTCGAACTCACAGAGATCCACCTGCCTCTGCCTCCCAAGTGCTGGGATTAAAGGTGTGCGCCACCACCACCCGGCATAAATAAATCTTTAAAAAAAAATATTTTGTGTGTGTGCCTGAATATGCACACATGTGTGCAGTGCATCAGATTCCCTGGAACTGGAGTTATAAGTGGTTATGAGTCACCATGTAGGTGCTAGGAACCAAACATGAGTCCTCTGGTAGAGTAGCCAGTGCATCTAACCACTGAGACATATCTCCAGCCCAGATTTAATACAATTGTATCATAATTGCCCATTCATTTACTTCGCCAAAATTAATCTACTCATATTAATTATCCAAGAAGATTTGCTACTCAAACCAGGGAATAATTACAGTCCTCAGTAACCGGGAGGACCTACAAACTGCAGGCAGCACCCCTACTGGGGATGGTAATTACAGCAAAGGCTGTTCTGCTCCCCTGTACCCTCTTTATTGATCCTATCTCTCTGTGCTCCAGAAGCCTCAAGTCCCTCAAAATCTAAGTCCGACCTTTGGGTTTTGCAGATGTTTGTACCTGAGATCTGACAATGTAGCAGAAGGCAATTGTGCTGAAGAACTCCTACAGAACTCCAGTCACGTTGTGGAGGAGTATTTTGTGGCCCCCCCAGGTATGTGTTACCCAGGGTAGTCAACAGTAGTTCAGACATGCTCACTGAAGATAAACACTATCTGAATACAAAAGGATAAACTGCACACAAGTGGTGCCGTAATGACAGTAGCCCAGGAGTCATACCCACCTTTTGGGGCCAGTCAGTGAAAATGAAAGCACAGTACAGGAAGGACTAAGGGTGTGTGTGCAGCAGACCGCATATCTCCCTGGGCCTAGACCCTGTCTTCAGGAACAGCTGGCATTCCCTGGTGCTCTGGTGCCAGAGGAACCTAAGTCGATTTGCTTGGAAAACTTTTTGTCTGATATTGCCTCAACTTGTATTGGTAACCATTTCAAAGAAAAATTAACATGTCACATAGGCCAGCTGAAACATATCTATATATAGCTTATGTATCTCAGCCGTGGTTTGTAATCCCTGATGTAGCAACTGCATTTCCAACTTCACTATATACACTTAAAATGGAAGCTTGGGCAGCATGACCTTTTGTCTCCTATTGAGTTTTCAGCCTCCACAGCAGACACAAACACCAGGCAGCTAACAAGTAAAGCTCCGAAGCTAACATATTTATGAGTTCAAGTTTCCTTTTTTTTTTTTTTTTTTTTTTTTTGAGACAGGGTTTCTCTGTATAACAGCTCTTGCTGTCCTGGAACTCGCTTTGTAGACCAGGCTAGTCTTGAACTCACAGAAATCCACCTGCCTCTGCCTAAGTGCTAGGATTAAAGGTGTGCACCCCTGCCTGTGGATTAAACTCTTAACTGCCATATTTGCCTCAGCTAGCTAAAGAGAAAAGACTTTTATATACTACTTCATCAGCTAGATCTGTGATCATATCACACAAATAGAACCTTGCTCCAGACTTGGAGTCTAGGCAAAGGCTCATTCTTAGTCTTCCATTTCTACTTAATATATGTGCCTGGTTATATACAGCTTGCTTCTATGCACTGGAAGGTGTGGGTTTGGCTTCACTTTGAACTGCTAGTGATACTTGAGAACTGGGGAAAAGGATGGCATTAATACCTACTTCCACTGTTTCATGAAAACCAACTGACCATTAGTTTAGGAGGGCCAGCTGAACAGCAGGTTCAACTATAATATTCTTTCTTATTTTCAAACAGGTAATATTTCTTTGCCAGACATGGTAAACAGGATCCCTTCTCCCACAGCAGAGTAGCTATTCTGGGGTAGGGGAACCCTATCAAGATGGTGGACTCACAGGGTGGTCATTTGCTGCAGTGAATACTTGTGTAAACTGGACATTTACGATTTCTTGGTAACTGTTCTGAGGACAGAACTGGAAAATAGCCAGCTAACTGAGCACCACAAGCCTGCGTCCAAGGAAGTGGATCAAGTACTCACAGGCCTGTTCCATATGGAAAACATCATCCTTCATCTCCCAATAAACACTATCAAAATGTATGTATATGCCGGGCGGTGGTGGCGCACGCCTTTAATCCCAGCACTCGGGAGGCAGAGGCAGGCGGATCTCTGTGAGTTCGAGACCAGCCTGGTCTACAAGAGCTAGTTCCAGGACAGGCTCCAAAACCACAGAGAAACCCTGTTTCGAAAAACCAAAAAAAAAAAAAAAAAAAGTATGTATGTGAATTTTTCTGTTTATACTTAGGAGATAGATTACCCGTGACCATGTGACAAAAGTTATTTTTAGTTGCTTTTCCACTGACTTGAGCAGCCAACCATCTTCATGTGTTCCTCGGTACTTTATTCCTACCAGAAGACTCGTTTTATAGAAATGTTTGAGTAGTATCAAAGTAAACTACAGCCTGGGAACTCCTAATTTAGAACCATCTTCCTTTCTCAGAAAGTGGCAATACCCCTTCCCACACTGTGTCTATGAACACCTGACCCCCACCCCACACTGTCTATGAACACTGGACCCCCACCCCACGCTGTCTATGAACACCGGACCCCCACCCCACGCTGTCTATGAACACCGGACCCCCCCACACACACTGTCTATGAACACCTGACCCCCACCTCACGCTGTCTATGAACACCTGACCCCCACCTCACACTGTCTATGAACACATGACCCCCACCCCACGCTGTCTATGAACACCTGACCCCCGCCCCACGCTGTCTATGAACACCTGACCCCCACTTCACGCTGTCTATGAACACCTGACCCCTCTCTCCTCCCCACACAAGTAGTGCCTGTGAACACCAGCCAAACAGTTACTTTCTGAAAAAAGAACTTGTTAAAAATAGCCTTGGGCTTGCTTTCATTCTTCCTCTTCCCTTTATCTGCAATGTTCTCACACAGAGATACACACACCTTTTGTGTTGTTGTTAAGATAGGGTGGCCTTCATTGGTCTCTCAAGTACAGGGATTAGAGGCGTGAACCACCTCAGTGAACCTCTTTTACAGGCAGTTTCATTTACAATGTCAGCTCTGAATTATAAAAACTCTGAATCTGGGTTAGAGATGGCTCAGTGATTAAGAAAACTTCCTAAACCAGTGTTGTGGTGCACGCCTTTAAATCCAGCACTTGAGAGGCAGAGGCAGGTGGATCTCTCTGAGTTTGAGGTCAGCCTGATCTACAGAGTGAGATCCAGAACAGCCAGGGTTACACAGATTAAAAAACAAAAACCGGAGCCCTCCCTAGTCTCCTGTCTGACTGGAGTCAACTCAGGATGACCCAACACAACCTCCTGTGACTCCAGTTCCAGGGGTCTATAATGCCTTTGCGGCCTCAGTGAGCATGAACACACATGTAGTATACACATAAATATCAATCTTAAAAAAATACAGACTCTGCCCTGGGTGTTGAAATTTTGAAACCATCATCACTACCCCAGCAATGTAATGTTTCTGCCCCTGACAAACTGCTGTGATAACGTAGAGGACGCTGCTTCTTGGTCAGAACCTGTTAGGGGAAACCTATGTGCCTACTCAGAGACAACCACACACCAATTACTAAACGTTTAAAATATATTTCTCAACAAAATGAGCGACTCAGTCGTCGTAACTGCTGATCTCCAGAGCAGAGCAGCCCACAAAGATACAGCACTGATTTCTATCCCATAATCAGGGGTGAAAAATATACAACTTGTTCTGAACCAAAGCCACAACTTCTATTTCTGCAGTCTAAAACATTTTACTGCTAGTATGGTGGCCCTGGTTGAAATTATGTAGTTCCTTAAAAAAGAAAAAAGAAAGAAAGAAAATAGAAAATCTCCTAAGACACTAAATTATCAATCTGGAATGTAGATTCTGAGCACAAAGCAGCTCAGGGCATCTAAAAAATAGAAAAACTTCCCACCCCCTTCCTCAGTAAGGCCTGAAAGGAGAGAAGTAGTGTGGAGAGCCCCTGCTTTGGTACGGAGAATCACGGCCCCTGGACCCAGACCGGGACCTTGAGTAGCCATAGCTGGTACTCCTCTCAGGATAAACTCGGATGTATGAAGTTTCACCCTGAAATTGGAACAAACAGAAAAGGAAAGAGTAAAGTAATAGTAAGCAAAGCTGATGACCTCTAACCTGGCTCAGAGCCCCACGGACTGCATGCCTGATACCGGACTGCATGCCTGATACCGTGATGTTACTACACCTGCACAATGTTATTTGGAGGTAAGTACCCTTACTCTTCCATTTCAAAAAGGAAGAAAATCAAGATAAACAAATGCATACTTCTCCGTGCTCTGACCTTGCAGGACTAAGGATTAGCAAACACCCCTTTAATTTTTAATTTATGTGTACTGGTGTTTTGCTTCCATGTGTCTATATGAGGGTGTCATACAGGATCTTTATGGTACTGTGAAGTCATCAAATGGCAAAGGCCATGACCTGTTGCTACTATTGCTAAATTAGACTTAATAGAAGGCAAGAACCCACCTCGTGAGAGCGGAATTTTGTATCATCCAGTTTACGCAGAGCGTATTCCATGTCTTCTTTTCTCAGATACTCAACCATCCCCATTCCGTCTTTTTGTACATCTGCATAACAGACATCCCCAGCTTCACGCATGTGATCTTTCAGGTCCTGCCAGCTGCCTGATGGAGGAAGTCCTAGGTACAGACAATGTAAGAGAAGAGCCACACCCTTTAGTCATGTTAACTGCCCTTAGGCACTAGCAATACCTATGATGATCTATACTCTGTGGATCACTTTATTCTTAAGGGTTCCCAAGTCACAAATCCTTTAAAGGGGCACAAAACCAGAAAAATTACTTGAAGTATATATGGTAAATCACTGTGAAAAGCTAGGTTAACTGTCCAGAGACCAAAGTTTCCTAACAAAAGCATCCTATTACAGGCTTACAACCTCTGAGAATTTATCATTCTGTCCTTCACAATGAATGTGACACTCCCAAAACTGAATTCTGGTTTTTTTTTCCTTATAAAATTTATTAGTACCAAGTATTTCTTGCTGAACTTATTTTCCCAGGACATGGGACATTTGAAACAAATCAAGTGCAGCTGAGGGATCAGCCATCAACAGAAACCAACATTTGTTTTCTATTATCGTGAATGGTTGACAGACCACAAAGTACCTCGTAAGAGATCACCAACATTCCTCACTACAGTTGGGGAAAGGTAACACTCAGACGCTAAAACTAGTTGGGAGTCATACAACCCTACCTGATGTCATGAAAGGGAAATGTGCTCCTGCTCTCAAAGGCTGTGTTTACCGCGCACAGCTCAGGACTGCAGCCATTTCCTAATAGTTTTCTAAGCAGGATTTCAGAGCAGCATGGAGAGAAAAAAAGATAATGTATGACATCTTGAAGGAGGGAATAGAGTCCTAGGGTTAAAAAATTACAAAGGGACACAGATAGACAGATACCATCACTCTATGCACTACTGTGATTGTGGGACATTCACACTTTAAAAGGCAGCAGGCTCAATGCATTTCACTCCACTGGGGCCCCAAACTCCCCTGCAATGTGCAGAGGGCCCGGGACCTCAACACTGCGTTGATATTTTCAAGACACATAAACTTCTGAGCTTGGCATTTCATCCATCATTCACTGACACTAATACAAATGTTCTGTTTTCCAATACAATCCCCAAGATTTTAAGTTGTTTGCATCTGGTTCCCGTGATGTCTATAAAGCCAGACACCAAGGAACATTTCCAAAGATAAACATTTTTAGAATTATAGATCAAAGGTTTTGTCATCATTTTGCCCCTCACCAGTAAGAAACTACTTTAAAAGAAACATGTTTATCATGCTGTGCACTCGGGAGGCAGAGGCAGGCAGATCTCTGTCAATTCAAGGCCAGCCTGGTCTTGTGAGTTCCAGGACAGCCAAGACTACATAGGGACCTTGTCTGAAAACAAAAAAGAAACACGTTTCTGTCCCACAAGGCTGCATTACTTATACAATTTCATTTGTATGGTACCTGCCTCCCTGAAAAAACTAGAACAAAGCTTTAGACTGCCCGTGTGCACTGATTACTAAAAAGCCAGCATATACCACGTACTGAATAACAGTGAGTTTTTCTTACAAGTAGCATGCATGCACCATTTCATCCACTGTGGTAAGAACATACCTGAAACAAGAACTCGGAAATCAGACCGTCTTGTAGGAGGCCCATTCCTTGCACCACGGGGCCACCCACCCCGACCTCCGAAAGTCCTGGGGAATTCCACACGAAGTCGACACTGGCCATAATCATAACCATTTCTTCCATAAATTGCATCTTCAGCATCCCTGCAAAGGAAAGCTTCAAGTTAGTGCTGCCCAATAGGCTGAATGACTTCCCAATGAAGGGCACGAGTAATTAAGAGGGGAAATCAGCCTGAGGGAATAGGAGGATAGACCCCAAAACAAAATCTTGATGTACTTGTGCCTTAGTTGAGAACCTTTTCACGTTACTCAGAGACTTTACAGCTGGGCCAGCAAGATGGCTCAGCCATGGCATGCACACATTCTCAAGTGCAAAGCACTCAAAAAAAAAAAAAAACTATAATAATGAAGGGGTTTGAATATGAGCAAAAGATTGCTAGGTATTTGTGAACAAAACTCATGATTCTGGATGTACAAACTAAAACAGGACTACAGCTGTCAAGGGCATGGAAGACCAGGCATGGTGGCTTTAATCCCAGCACTCAGGTGGCAGAAGCAGGCAGATCTGTGAATTCAAGCCAGCCTGGTCTACAACATGAGTTCCAGAACAGCCAGGAAACCCTGTCTCAAAAGAAAAAGTAATTGTTGATAACTGATTTTGCCAATAAGCAAATTTATCAGAACATGGCAAGCATTTTCCTCTCAAGCAGCAGTGCTCAGCCTGTGGTCAGACCCCTCTGACAAACTTCTATCTCCAAAAATATTTACATTATGATTCTTAACAGTAGAAAAATCACAGTTATGAAGTAGCAACAAAAGTAATTTTGTGGCTGGAGTCACCACACCATGAGGAACTGTATTAAGGTTTGCAGCGTTAGGAAGACTGAGCACCACTGCTCTAAAGGCTTATCCTATATTAGGCCCCTTAATATTCTTCTAGAAGGCCTAATGGCATAAAGATTAAAGTTTAAAAAGAAGCCCAATGATGGTGGTGGCGGCACACGCCTTTAATCCTAACACTCAGGAGGCAGAGGCAGGTGAACTCAAGGCCAGCCAGGTCTATAAACTGAGTTCCAGGACAGCCAGAGCTGTTACACAAGAAACCCTGTCTTGAGTACAGACCTAAACAGAGAACTCTCAACAGAGGAATCTAAAATGGCTGAAAGACACTTAAGGAAATGTTCAACATCCTTAGTCATCAGAGAAATGCAAATCAAAACAACTCTGAGCTTACATCTTATACCTATAAGAATGGCCAAGATCAAAAACACTGATGACAACTTATGCTGGAGAGGTTGTAGGGAAAAGGGAACACTCCTGCATTGCTGGTGGGAATGCAAACTGGTACAACCCCTTTGGATGTCAGTGTGGCGATTTCTCAGAAAATTAGGAAACAACCTTCCTCAAGACCCAGTAATACCACTTTTGGATATATATATACAAAGGATACTCAATCATGCCACAAGGATATGTGCTCAACTATGTTCATAGCAGCTTTGTTATAGCCAGAACCTGGAAAACCTAAATGCCCCTCGATCAAAGAATGGATAAGAAAAATGTGGTACATTTACACATTGAAGTACTACACAGCAGAACAAAATAACAACATCCTGAATTTTGCAGGCAAATGGATGGAGCTAGAAAACATTATTTTGAGTGAGGTAACCCAGACACAGAAAGACAATTATCACATGTACTCACTCATAAGTGGTTTTTAAACATAAAGCAAAGAAAGCCAGCCTACAAACCACAATCCCAGAGAACTTAGACAACAATTCAGACACTAAGAGAGACTTGCATAGATCTAATCTACATGGGAAGTAGAAAGTATAAGAAGACTAGATCTTCTGAGTAAATTGGGAACTGGGGACCTTGGGGAAGGGTTGAAGGGGGGAGGGGAGAGGCAGGGAGGGGAGCAGGGAAAAATGTAGAGCTCAATAAATATCAGTTTAAAAAGAAAAAAAGAAACCCTGTCTTGAAAGAAGATTAAAGACAGATGAGGGCCTGAGAATGCTGGTTCAAGCACCCACATGGTGGCTCACAACCATCAGTAATTCCAGTTCCAAGGATCCAACAGTCTCTTCCGACTTCCTTGGACAAGAAGCATGCATGTGGAACAGACAGATACATACAGATAAGACACACACACATAAATTAATCTTCAAAAGATAAGTGAGGGGTGGATATGGTGACTCACATCTTTAAGAGCAGCAACGCAAGCCAGAGGCAGGCAGATCGCTGCGTTTGAGCCCAACGTGGTCTATCAAAGTTCCAGGCCAGTCAGGGCTATAGTATAATACCCTGTCTAAAGCAAGCTAACAAAAAGGCATCAAGGAACAAACACATTCTGGACAACCTTAACTGCCAGAATGTATCTCTAAGGGAGCCTGGAAGGGGCAGGCATATTAGGGATTAAAATAGGAATTTGTATGTAAAGGACTTGAGTTACCTATTTAAACATTTTATACCCCCTGAGGAACAGGTCTATCATCTCACTGGGTTATTAAAAAGACTAAGATGCTAATACTTTAAGTGCTTTGTTTGAAACTTCTCAAATAGAGCAGAATATAATTTCTTCTGCTAAGACTAAAGGGAGACCATATAACAACACACAGTAACTGTTAAAGAGGAGGTTTAGATCCTACCTAGATCCCTTATGAAACACCAAGTGTTATCCCCTCTCTAACCTCTTGCATTAACCAATGCGAAATTTCCTCATCTGTGAGTTATCTCCCTCATGGGTTGCTGGAAATGCTAACTACACACACAGCATGGCACCTGACACGGAATGACTTCAAAATAGACAACGGCACTGTTAACTAACATGACTGTCTCACGTCCGTATGTAAAAATGCTTCCGTCTACTTTTGAGGCAAATGTCAAGACACTTAGGAATAGGCCGTTAGTTTTCAACCATCGTTTTCAACCATCGAAGTCCAGGGTACTTCTACTGGCAATCCGTATCTCCAGCCCAGGCCGGCGGGACACCGGGTAGGCAGGCAGAGATGGAGCCTTCCTCCCAGCGATGCTGGCAGACAGGAAGAGGCCCTTGCTGATCGGTCCTCCCAGTGAAGTGACCACTGGGGTGCTGTGACTTCTACAGCGCACTTAAAAGTTCTGGGCCTTTTCCGGTCGGAGGACTAACACTTGCAAAACCACGGGTCCTAGCTTTTCCTCAACCCTGGTACTATTAACTTGTGGCGGGCGGGCCTCCCTCATCAGACGGGAATGAAATCATAGCCGCCGCCCCCTCCCCCCGCGGGTTTAACCCCACTCTTTTTACAAGAACTAGGCGCGGTGGGGAGCCCGAATGGGGACAGCTTCCAGACACCCCTTTATGGCCGCCAAAGGCAACCTGTCCCCGCCGTGTGTTGCCCCATAACAGCGAGGGCCCGGGGGGCGGGGTGGCGACTGCCTACTTTGCCGAGTCCTCTGCAGAGCCGGTTCGGGGACCCGAGGCACCTTTAGGGGAGCTTCCCGTTAGGCTGCCTTCCCAGCTCCAGGGAAAGAGTGCAGACTCGTACTCTCCCCGAGGCAAGCTCGGCGGGCCCGGGCCCTCCAGAGCCCATCTGGGATTTTGACATGAAACACTAAACCACAGGGGAAGCTGAAGTGAGAAGTGGCCGCCGCCTCCGGGGAGTGCCGCGAGGGGTCGGCGCCGCGGGGAGGGGGAGGGGAGGCGGGGAGAGGGGAGGGCCGGGCCAGGCGCCAGCCTGCAGGAGGGCGAGCCGCGGGCTCCTCACCGCGGGTCCTCGAAGCGGACGAAGGCGAAGGGCACGAGGCCGTGCCGGTTCTTGAGCTCGATCTCGCGGATGCGGCCGTACTTGTAAAACAGGTCCTCCAGGTCCTTCTCTCGCACGTCGGTCGGAAGGTTCCCCACGTAGATGCGCCCGTCGCCCTCGCCGCCGCGCTCGTCCGCCCAGCCCGACATCCGCACGGCCCGACGCCGCGGGCCCGCCGCAGCCCACTTCCCGCTGCCGCCGCTGCCGCCGCCGCCTCAGCCCGGATCCCGGCCGCAGCTCCCCCGCGGGCTCCGAGGCGCTCAGCCGCACTGCATTGTGGGAACGCTGCGCAGAAGCCGTAGGGGTCGGAGGAGACTAAAGTAATCTTAAAGGGAAAGCGGCCGCGAGGTGCGCGTGCGCGTGCGTGGGCGCCAGTGCCCCGAGAGGTGCCAGGGGAAGGAAGGTTGGGATAGCGAGGTCCGAGCAGTGGGACTCGCTCTGCAGCGCCACCTAGGCTCGCAGGTCTTTTGGCGTGTGCCTGTCATTCTGCGAGCGGGGCGCCTGAGGAAAGGACGCCGACCCCACAGAAGTCCCCAGACTTCCCAGCGCTGGGCTGTCGTGACCCTTAGTCCTCGGCCAGAGTGGTCTCCAGAGCGAGTGATGGAGAACCCAGCATGGTGGTGCACGCCATTCATTCCAGCACTCGTGGGGGCTGACGCAGGAGGATCTCTGTGAGTTCAAAACCAGCCTGGTCTCTAGAGAGAGTTCCAGGTCAGCCTAAGCTTTTTGCAACCCTGTCGTGGGATTTATGAGGATAAGAGTGTAAAGACTGTCTCATACTAAATATTCCCGAGTATCACCAAAGCCATCACTGTAGAGTCTGGGCTACATAGTAAGTTTGAGAAGAACCTCAAAAAGGAAAAGAAAGGCTGTGAGTAACGATACATTCTGGTAATCTCAAAGTCAGGATGCTAAAGCGAGAGACTCAAAAATTCTAAGCTCGCCTGGGCTACATACTGAGACCCTGCCTCGGAAAACCATCCACACCTAAATGGCTGGAGGGATAGTAGAAGACAAAGACAGCAGAATGTTAGCTGTAACTCTAGACAGTGAGCATGTGTTCACTGTGCCATTGTCTCAACTGTTCTGTCTGAAATATTCCCGTAGTAACATTTTAGGGATCCTGGTATTCTGGAGGCTGAGGAGCATTGAGTGTTGGGAGTCCAGCCTGGGCTACACCATAAAATAATATCTCCTAAACAAACAAACAAACAAAAACTCTCGAATTATGTGTGTTTGTGTTTATTTTGTATTCTATACAATTAAAAGCTCTGGGAGCTGGAGAGATGGCTCAGTGGTTAAGAGCACTGACTGCTCTTCCAGAGGACCCAGGTTCAAGGCCCAGCACCCACATGGCAGTTCACAAATGGCTGTAGCTCCAATTCCAGGGCATCTGGCATCTTTCTTCCCAGACATCCTTACAGGTAAAACACCAATGCACATAAAATAATAATAAATTTGAAAAGAAAAATGTTGTGGCTGCTGGGCGGTAGTGGCAGCACACACCTTTAGTTCCAGCACTTGGGAGGCAGAGGCAGGTGGATATCTGAGCTCAAGGCCAGCCTGGTCTACAGAGTGAGTTCCAGGACAGCCAGGGATGCACAGAGAAACCCTGTCTCAAAAACCAAAAAATTAATAAGTTAATTAAAAATAATGAGTAATTATGGGCTGAAGATTAGGCGAAGCGACGAAGAGCACTTAATCTTCTTGCAGAAAACACCTGGGTTCTGCTCCCAGCACCCATGTGGTGGCTCACAACCATCCTAACTCCAGTTCTCTTCTGATCTCCCTGGATTCCAGGTAGGAACATGGTACACTTACGTACATTCAGGCAAAGCACTTATACACATAAAATTACTTTTTTCACCAAACTTCTGGTAACAAGGAAGTGAATTACCACAATAACATTGAATGTTACACAATTATTTATTCATGTTTCTGATGATATCATAACATTTATCATTGAAGTAAACTTACATGCATATATATATACATATGTGTGTATATATAATCCACATATGCACTCTGAAGGCAGTCTATTAGGTTGTTAATCTCTGTTATTGGTCTGTTGAAGGAATCTGCTAACCACTTATCTATGAAAAGTACAGCACTGGAGACGTCATTTTAGACGCCATTCATCTCTAGCTTAGCAGTAGAGTGACTGCATACCACGCCGGAGGCCCCAGGGTCAGTCTCCAGCACTGCCCGGACAAATGACAGAGTACAAAATACACTTGGTAAAACCATGTCTGTAGAATTGGAGAGTATTACGATCTTATTTCTTTTCATATACTGAATAAATAAAAATGTATGTAATTTTCCAGTTCTGTGCATATGCAGTCATATAATTAATATATATATACTATACATATGTGTGTGTGTGTATCCAAAAAAAGTGTAGAAACTTTTCAAGAGAATGTAATGGCACTTGCCTACCTGTGTTCTTAACACTGGGGATGTGGGTAGCAGAAGGGTTATCCTCAGCACTTTAATGAGTTGGAAGCCAGCCTAGGCTCCATCAGAACCCTGACACAAACAACAACAACAATAACCCTAATTAAACACTGACATTTAAGAGTTAAAGAAAACCCTCCAAATGTCTGCGGCACTACCCCTGGTGTTTTCCTATATTTGTACAGACATCTGTTGATGGCAATGATTTCTCTATTTTTATACTTCCCTGTGTTTATCAAACTGTAATTAGCCTGTACTAGTTTTATAAGTGGAATAAAACCTAATAAATGGTTTCTCAATTAAAAGTGCATCTGTGTCTGGAATATACAGTGCAGAATTCTGACTGCTCTTGTCAGGCCCAGAAGGTGAGCAGGAAAGATTCTTGGCCAGATAGGATCTTGAATTTTTAACGGCTTTCCCAGGACAACATGGTAAAAAGCCCAAATGGCTTCTTATTTTCAGGGGTGTACTTAAATGTATTAATATGCTTCTTGCCCAGTGGTGATGGCACATGCCTTTAATCCCAGTACTCAGAAGGCAGAGGTAGGTGGATCTCTGTGAGTTAGAGGCCAGCCTAGTGTACAGAGTGAGTTCCAGGACAGCCAGGGCTACACAGAGAAACCCTGTCTCGAAAAAAAATTAAAAAATAATGAAAAGTTCTGGGCTGGAGACTTGTGGGTAGGGTGCTCGCTGCCAAGCCTGACGACCTGAGTTGGATCCCTAGGACCCACATGGTGGAAGGAGAGAGCCAGGAAGTTCAGCAGGTCAGAGGAAAGAGCAGCTGGTCCATAGGCCAGTGGGGTTCAGAATTGGGGTTCTGCCAAGGGTATTGACATTAGAAGGGTGTGTGCATGTGTGCACACATGGAGAGCAAGGTTGAAGTTGGGTGTCTTCTTCAGTCTGCATCTTTCTTGTGAACCTGGAGCTCATTGATTTGACCACACTAGCTAGCCAGTGAGCTCTAGGGATTGGTTTCTTTCCACCCTCGTCTCCCATTGCTGGGAACCAAACCCGGGTCCTCTGGAAGAGCAGCCAGTGCTCTTAACCACTGAGCCATCTCTTCAGCCTCAGAGGTTTTGTTTTGTTTTTTAATACTAAGGATTAGACCTAGGGCCTTGTACGTGCGAGACAGGAGTTTGGCCACTGTAGTATACGCATGACTGTATTTTTATTACAAGTGTTTATTTGTGGTGAGTGGGAACGTATGTGAAGGGCACACATGTGGAGGTCAGAGGACAACTCCAGGCAGTTATTAGGTCCCAAAGATCAAACTCAGGTCATCAGGCTTGGCAGCCAGCACCTTTGCCCACTGTGAAATACTTTTCTGGATCCCTGGCCATCATTTAGTTTTTATTTGGAGACAGTGTCTCACTAAGTTGCTTAGGCTACCCTTGAACATGGGATTCCTCCCAAGAAGCTCGAAGATGACCCGTGGCATCACAACCGGATAAGAAATCTCAAGGACAAGAAATCATAGGACTTCAAAATGAACAGCCATGAGGGCTGATGGAGGAAAAGTCTCAGGTCAGGTTCCTGGCTTGGGGAAGTTGTTGGGCAGGGGTGTCATTGCAAGATAGAATTGATCTGCAGAAAAAGGAGGTGATCCGAGAGGCATGGGTGATGTTAGTTCAGAAACACGGGAGGACACAAGAACGGAAAGATAGAGAGCAGCAGGGTTCTAGGCCATGTGTGCCCTCTAGCTGAAAACAGGGATGATGCACACAGGACCCAGTGGCGCTTCAGACTGTCCTTCCTGCAGGGGATTTACGGAAGCACTGGGTATGGTGGCACAAGCCTGTAATCCCAGCCCTTAGGATGCTAGGGCAAGAAGATCTCTAGTTTGAGGCCAACTTGGATACATACGTAGCCAGTTCCAGGCCCAGTGAGACCTGGTCTGGGGGAAAGAAAAAGGTGGGGGCTGGAGAGATGGCTCAGAGGTTAAGAATTTTGCCTGCTCTCCCGAAGGTCCTGAGTTCAACTCCCAGCAACCACATGGTGGCTCACAACCATCTGTAATGAAATCTGGCACCCTCTTCTGGCATGCGGGCATACACACAGACAGAATACTCTACACATAATAAATAAATATTTAGAAAAGACAAGTGGGCCGGGCGGTGGTGGCACACGCCTTTAATCCCAGCACTTGGGAGGCAGAGGCAGGTGGATCTCTGTGAGTTCGAGACCAGCCTGGTCTATAAGAGCTAGTTCCAGGACAGGCTCCAAAACCACAGAGAAACCCTGTCTCGAAAAACCAAAAAAAAAAAAAAAAAAAGACAGGTGGGTAGGGAATGTAACTCCGTTGGTTGGTAGGGCACTTGCCTGGCATGCAGGAACTGGGTTCAGTCCCTATAACCGCATAATCTAGGTGTAGTAGCACACTCCTGCAGCCCCAGCATGTGGCAGGATCAGAGATTTAAAGTTATGCTCAGTTAAGTAGCTCGCTGAAACCCAGCTCAGGATACATGAGATCCTGTCTCCAAGCAAACAAGCAAACAGAGCTGGGGAGGCTGCTCAGATGAGTAAAGTGCTTGCCACAAAAGCCTGACTTTAGATCCCCAGGACCCATGTACAAGCCGGGTAGGAGATATGTCCCAGCGCAGAATCCCTGAGGCTTGCTGAGTTGATGAGCTCTTGTCTCAAAAACTGAAGGAGGAGCTCGGGAGGTAGTTGAGATGGCACAGTACTTATCAGCATATACAAGATCCTGAGTTTAAGCCCCAGCACCAGAGAAACCAGGTGTGGTGTCTCAAAAATGTAATCGCTGGAGATGGGGACAGGATGATCATTCCCGATTATATGGGGAGCCCAAGACCAGGCTGGCCCCTGGGATACCCTGGAGG